AATTAATTCTGGTTTAAAAGCTAACTCTAGGAAAACACTCCATGTCAAGTTATTATTATTACTTATTTTATTGTATTTTAGAACTGATGGACTTTGGCACAGACTGTCTGTGTAGCTGCAACGGTGTGAAATTCCTTATGATTAATTTCTCAATCCCTTTGGGGCTCCACAATCCTGCAGTTAATCTGTTACTGGTGCCACAACTTAGTTCAGAGTTGGCCCTGCACACACCCAGGGCCTGCACACTAAGTGCTCTGCTAATGAAGAAGGTATCTCCCTGCAGAGCTCATCTCCCTGTACTCCATACCCGTTTGTTGCATTATGCCACCAAGGAAAGCTGGACGGAAGCGCAGGTCAATATTCCAGATGTGCCGGTACCGGCAGAGAGCCTGCAATGTGAAAGAGTAGTGAGGGATTCACAGTCAAAGATGTCTATAGAGCTGTGTGCAGCTAAGGCAGTAAATACTACAAATAAATCCTTTCCTATTGTATTAGGGCTAGTCATAAAGCATTTCCTGGATGCTGCCAGGGAACTCTGATCTCAGTAAAACTGAGGGGTCCCTATTTGTGTGACGACTATCCAAGGCTAAGCAGCGGTAAGTATGGGAGAGGTCAGGCTCAGCTCATGATCAGGACACCTGCATTTTTTAAATATGAAAGCTACCCCCGAAGCAAAATGTTCAGCACTAACTCCTGCACCGCCGTTTGGCTCGGACACGCTTCCCTGGTGTCCCTGGATTTCAACACACGAGGGGGAAGCCCAGGCACCCCATAGAGGTGAGAGAAAAATTAACTTCGGAGCGCAAAGGGCGCTGCCTGCAGCCAGCCGGCCGAGCTGCCCTTGAGCGGCCCTTCGGAGGGGGAGGCGGCGGCGGGACCGGCCGGGCGCCAGCGCCGCTCCGGCACCGCGGAGAGCCGGCAAGGGCCTCCCTCCCCGTGCCGACCCCTCACCTCAAACGCCAGCCAGGAGTACGGGGAGATCACATCGTAGAACAGCTCCACGAGCGTCCGGCCCATCGTGGCCCCGTGCCGTGCCGTCGCTCCGCAGCGTCCCGCGGCCGCAGCACCGCCCCGGGCCCGGAGGGAGCGGCAGCAGCGACGGCAGCGGGGCGGCCCTTCCGCCGCTGCGGGGCGGAGCCGCCCCCGCCGCCCCTCCGCTCCGCCTCCCAGGCCGTGCGGCTCGCTCCGCTGGCTCTCCGGGGGCAAGAGCAGGGCTGCGATCGCAGCGGGCCGGGAGGGAGCCTGTGCCTTTGGCCGTGGCGAGGCCGCAGGAGAGCAGGCTCCCGAGAGGGAGCCCGGGAGCTGACTCGGCGGGGCAGTCCAGCATGTTTTCCCGGGAGCACGGCGTCCCTGCCGGATCAGCAAGTGATTTACGTGCCACTGGCCCTTTTATCCCCCTACCCTCTATTTTCGCCGTACTTGTTCATCCTCCGTTCACCTAAGCTCTTCCCTTTCCCCACCTTTAGTTCCTCCCCTGCCCATCCCACAGAAACGCTGTGCAATCCCAAAGCGCTCTCGTTCTGCCGCGGTTCCCTCCCCACCGCAGCAACGCCTTTTAGTCCTGGATGTTACCCGGAACGTGCTCCTGGATCCCTCCTTTGGCTGTAATCTTGATATTTTTAGCAGATCTCTCCTTTGGCTGTAATCTTGATTTTTTTTTTTTTTTTTTAGCAAAGCGGCTTTCTGAATGACGGGTAACTTTAACTCAAGAATGAAAAGCCTGAATCCCAACAACAGGTTGTGACCCCTCCCTGAAGTCTTTCTTAACACCTGAGTACTGGGCAGCGAGCCAATCGTTAAGAAAAGATTTGGGAGAGAGCTGGGAAACGTAAGTGTGAAGCATATTGGTGGCAAAAAAGAATAAATTAGTGACTGAATAAAAATTCTATTTAGGAGACTAGGTAGGATTTCTCCAAAGGGGAATCGTGCCTTACGTTTTTCTCAAGGGGTCAAAAATACTGCAGAATGTGACTTTAAAGACTTGCAATAAGTCACTGCCTCAGGCATCCTCTGGGGTCTGTGGGTGCCTCTCTTCGGGCCACTGGAGCCTGTGGATGTGACTGCTGCTTTCCCAAGTGCTGCTTCGGGCAGTAGAATCCCAACAACAGGTTGTGACCCCTCCCTGAAGTCTTTCTTAACACCTGAGTACTGGGCAGCGAGCCAATCGTTAAGAAAAGATTTGGGAGAGAGCTGGGAAACGTAAGTGTGAAGCATATTGGTGGCAAAAAAGAATAAATTAGTGACTGAATAAAAATTCTATTTAGGAGACTAGGTAGGATTTCTCCAAAGGGGAATCGTGCCTTACGTTTTTCTCAAGGGGTCAAAAATACTGCAGAATGTGACTTTAAAGACTTGCAATAAGTCACTGCCTCAGGCATCCTCTGGGGTCTGTGGGTGCCTCTCTTCGGGCCACTGGAGCCTGTGGATGTGACTGCTGCTTTCCCAAGTGCTGCTTCGGGCAGCACTGCTGTGAGGCTGTGTGTCCCAGAGAGATAAATTTGTACACACAGAGGTGACTCCAACACAGCTGGCTACACAGACTGCAACAAGCACTGCTGCCTGTAACCCCACTCACAAACTTCTTTTCATACCTGCTTTTTCAAAAGTTTGAAAGATAGATTTGTAATGAGTTCAGCTGTAGCCTGATTCTCTAGGATTTCATCCTGTATGCATCTGTTTTCCTCCCTTAGAAGAGAAACTTTGCCTGATAGATTCCACAGTTAAGCCGTTTTACATCTTTTATTAATCTTGTTAATTGTTAATATGCTTTTAATCCAATTACTCCAATTATCCTTAAACTTTCCTTGTGCAGGTGTCATTCAGGTGCAGGCAGAATGCTCTAAGCATTTGGCTATAAATTTTAACACATTCCTAATATCAGTCCACTAAATCAGTAACACTGAGGATTATATACCCCAGTCACCTGGGGAGCACTCAGCTCAACTGGACCATGCCTGTGACATCAGTTGTTGCCATCTCTGAGTCTCCACGGATTCCTTCTTCCTGGTCCCTGCCTGGTGCACCTGGAGAAGAAAAGTTCTGTCCTATGCAGATAGTTCTGACAGGGATAAATAGCTTGCTACATCTTTTTCAGGCATAACATTTGTTGCAATGCTTATGTCAGTTTCTTGTGCCTTTTACTATTCCTTGCAAAAACTTTCTACTTTCCCAGTTTTCCTGTTAGTGAGCCAGGAAAAGTAGATTGCAGGATGCAGTTAAATCCCATGTGTTTCCCTCCTTCTGTGCCTCACAGCATGCCTGCAGCACACCTGTCAGATCTTCTTGATGTTGCTGCAGAAACAATCAGCAAGAGTTCCTTTCTCAAAGACTTGGCTGAAACAGAATTTTGATGATTTTCTTGCAGTTCAGTCTCAATTCCAAATAATTCCCAGAAGCTCTCCCCATATATCTGAGAGGAAAAGCATACATTTGAGATCTTTGGACAGTTTCTAATAAGAAAATATCATAATTTTAAAATTAACTCAGTAAAAAAAAAAAAAAAAAAAAAAAAAAAAAAAAAAAGAAAAAAAAGAAGGTATTTAAATATAAAATCAAAAGTGTCCACTAAGTCTTAACAACAAGAAATTGTAAGATAAATTTGAAAGATCTTCTTAACAGCCATGCTTCCTTATCTTTTATGTATGTTATCTCTTCTCTGGAAATAACCAAAACTTATGCAAACTAATCCTAAATGCAGATTGTTCTGGTTCTGCTAGTACAGGATTAGCATTTGACGAACAGTGCTGTATTTCCAGAAGAAGTTAATGCAGCTCAGCAGTCTCTGTCAGTGCCCCAGCTCTTCAATGTCGTCATAGCTTGTATCCTCAAGAGCAGGGGATGAGGGTCTGTCAGCCTCAGAGGTCCTGTTTCTGCAAGTCCAGTCTGAAAACATGAAGGGAAGAACAGCTGTGATAGACAAAAGTGCATGCTGTAGGTATTACCTCTGTGTACTTGCGCAGCTTCCAGTTGTCTCCTCCAGCAATTAGAAACTTAGATAGGAGTGCCTATGAAAGACCTGACAAAGGCTTATGTCACTCTGCCTTTCTGCCTTTTGTGGCATGTATATTATATATATATATATATATATATATATATATACAAGGATCAAGCTTGAAACACAATGTTAAAAGGAATATATTCGTGGGCTGACAAAAAAAAAAAATTTCTAATGTCTCACTAGTTACTTTGAGTCCTGTATTTTGATTATTTTTCCACATCTCCAGTAGGCCAGAAATATTTATCACTACCCCAAAAGTAAGAGTTCAGATCAGGTGTTCCACAGTTACATTAAATGCACTGATAAAGAAAGGTCTGTCTCAAATATTTGTTGTTAACGCATACTGAATTATATGAGCCTGACAAAATTTAGTGCCAGGTTAAAAACCTAGCTGAATCCATCCTCCATGGACATAGAATGAGATCTAATAAGGACTTAAGAGACTACAGGTGAAGGGAGAAAGAGTCGATTCCATGATTTGAAAAATCCATGTCTAATGATATGTAGTATTCTACAGAGCACTATTTGAAGCTGTGTCAGACATGGAGCCCTCTCAAGACTGTCATATTGTTGGATAAAAGGGAAGTATCACACTAGCATCCATAAACAGAAGGATGTGGTGTAAGAGATTGTCCTTCTGCTCTACCTGACACTAGTAAGATCTCAGTACCATGCTGTAAAGAAATACTGTAAAGTTTTGGGTTTGAAACAATTGTTGAAAGATAACATGGACTGAGAAGAGACCCATCATGGGCAGAGTGTAGTCTACAAGGCCTAAGTAGAAAGTTGACTAATTTAAGTTGCAGCTGTGTAAAGAAACAAAATGCAGAGCAGAACTGAAGATAGGTATGTGAAGAAACTGTTATCAGTCTTCAAGTACTTAAAAGGCTGTTAAAAAGGTGACTGCAACCCTCTGTCCCCATGGTCATTCTAATAAGAAGTAAAATTTTAATTTACAGCAGTGGAAACTTAGGTTGGTTGGCCACAGGCAAGAATTATATGGCTATAAGGAAAGCAGAGAAGAGGTATAGATTAGCTGGATGTAAGAACAGAACAGCACTGCTCATCCAGCCTCACCTGTCTGGGAATCCTTGTTTCTGTCACTTTCTCCAGGGATCCCAATGATTTCCTGTTCATTCTGCTCAGAAAGAGAAGCATCTCTAGGTCCAGGAGCTTCTGTTGCATCATCATAACCATCTTCCAGGGCATTTTCAGGCAGTGGAGAGGCCTCTGGAACAGTACAGGTATTAACTTCCACTAGGGAAAGCAGTAGCTGATAATCCAGCAACACAGGGCTGCAATACTGACCTGTCTGTGCTTAACTGGAATCCATCCCTCAGCAAATGTTACTGTGCACAGTTTTATTGTAAATACGTATGCTTACCAATAATACATGTATAAACAGAAAAGTAAATCAAAGCACTCCTGTTTCACTTTTTACCTAGAAATCAATATTCAATCTGAATAAGAGAAAGAGAAACTATTTAGAATAATTGTCTTCTCTATAAGCACTTCAAAGATTTTAGTTTGTTTTTTAGCTTTTGGCTTGTAAGGAAAAGCTTTTAATTTGTTTTTCAACTAAAAAAAAAAGTTCTTAATATAAGAAAAGCAGTAGAAAATAAAGACATGGTGCAGCAGAGTCTGGGATATGGGCAACTGAGGTGCAAAACTGCTTGTGCCTTTGGCAGTTGTTCTCTTGGACACCAGACAATGGCTAACAGAGCTTTTTGATCAGCTCTAGGAAAATGCAGTTCTTCTCCAAACACTTCCACTCCCTCAGCTATTTCAAATTATAAATAAAAACAACCAACAAACCAAATGTACCCCCCAGGCAAACCCCACAGCTAGGAATCTGTATTTTCTTCAGATCACTTGGATTAAGATCCCTTGATCAGCTCAAATTGTACACCAGTGTTCTTATTTGGAATATGTATTTCATCTGTTTTAATTCTCCCCATTTGTCTCAGAAATAAGGCAAATGTTTACAAGCTATTATGGTTGAATGTCTGGGAGAAGCAGTTGTCACATTGTTGGATTCATGTGACTGGATACTGTGAAGTGTCTGCAGAACTACCAGCAAACATTTGTTTTGAATTTCTCATATAGAAGAGAAAACTAGCACTTGTATATGGGATTGTATGACACTTTTCCACCACAAGAGTTACACAGAAGATTTTCCATCACAAGGAAACATCACTAGCACATGAAATGAAACTCTTAATCGCTCATAATGCTTTGGATATCAAAAGTTACCCTGATTTTGGATCTCTTTCTTTGTACAAACCCTTTCTCACATTACCTTGTGTTGCTCCAGGACCATTTTCTTCATCACTGTCTGTTCTATAAAACTGTTCCTTTGGTTTTGAGCTCTCTGAATAAAAATTTAGGCAAATGAGAAAGAGCATGATACCAGATTAAACTCTCCTTAAATGCTAAAACTGCACAATGAGAAGAAGAGCAGTAATAGCATCCAAGTCCAGAATATTCTTTCAAAGTCATTATTACTTCTGCAAGGCTTACAATGGAATAACCAAGAATCCCTCAGGGGGCCCCATAACACCTCTCAAGGACCATGGCGAAGGCAAGCCACAAAGGGATAAAAGTAATCCACAGGAGGAAACCTACAGGGACCCAGCTGCTGTGAAGGAGATGCAAATTATTCCTTTATTTGTTCCTGCTTTAAATAATTGCAGCAAAAGGCTTTTGTTTGTTTGTTTGACCTATACTGATCTATGGCTAACATAGCTTTTTGTCTGTGGCTGCAGTGAGAACTGCACAAAACAAATTGTCCCTGGGAAAAGAATTGACAGAGTCCACTGGGCAGGAAACTCCTCTCCTCAAATCCAGGAATTTTAAATTTCCCAGTAGGTTTGGGAGCTGCAAGGTATCAGATTGGGATCAGAAAGGAGGAGCTTTCCCTTGAGAAAAGCAAGATACACACACAGACCTGAGAGGAAAGTCACGCCCTGCTTTTCCCTCATCAGGTTATAATCAATCTCTTCATAGACAGCCTCGGAGAAGGGGTCATAGGATAGTCTGGAGCCTGAAAGTAAGAGGTAATGATCACTTTCACAGTCTCTGCTTGTATTCAAGCTGGAGTCTTGAAAAGGAGAAGTACCTTACAGGGGTCTGTGTGGTTGGTACCTAGAAAGGCATCAAGATGTGCTGACTGAGGATAAGCACTTCTGGGCTCTTTCAGTGCCAGAAAGTAATGAAAAATCTCAGTGTGTCAACAGATTCAGTTAATCTCAGTCACCCATCCCCACTGCCTCCCCAGCCAACTAAACATTTGGGACCACGTAAAGGAGGCATTTCATACCAGTCTGAGAAACCCACCTCTCTGCTGTGCCCTGGCATGTTGGATCTGCCCAGCAAGAATGGCAAGGACCAGGCAGAGAAGGGTCCCCAGGACAATGCAGAGGATGACAGGCACTGAAAGTCTCATACTGCCTGTGGCAGGGCGGCGGGGACGATCTGAGTGGAAACCAAGAGGAAACAGGTAGAGAATCACGTGTCCCAAAGGGCTGCTCCTCTGCAGCCCCTTGCTGTGCCCATGCTAGCAGGGTGAGGCAGGGCACCTGCTGCTCTGCTATGGGCCCAGCTCAAGCAGATAAAATTCAGCAGCTGGGGGTGGTGCCTCTCAGTGTTCCTTTATGAAAGGCGGTGGGAAGTGCTATCTGATGAGCTGAAATAAACTGCTGTTTGATCTGTCAAGTATCTGGGACCTTAAATTGTCATTTGATTGGAGAAAGAAAGGGGAGAGAAAGAAGTTACCTGCTCTCGTGGGTGATGCTGTTGTTTCTGTCACACCTGCAAAAGGAAGGTGAGTCCGGATTAAGAGGCAAGTGTGAAAAATAGGGAGAACATCTTCATATAATTTGTGATGTTTTAGCAGTCAAAATTATGAAAGGGCTAGTCACTGGGAAGTACAGCTGGCATAATGCTCCCCTACCCACCTCCTTCACAGACCAGTGTAATAAAGGACCAGTCACTAACCAGAGCAATTCACACCAGCATCTTCCTTATGATCACAGTTTTTGCCAAACAAAGGCTTGGCTGGACAGTCCCAAAGAGACAGCTCTGTTCCTTTACAGTGCACCTTCTCCAACCAGATGGGACCAGTCCCTTCCCCAAAGGCAGCCTCACTCAGAGCAGACACAGCAGATCCACAGCCCAGCTGCCTGCATACAACATTGGCATCTGCCACGTCCCAGGAGTCATCACAGATTGTTCCCCAGGAACCTTGGTGCCACATCTCCACTCTGCCTGAACATTCATTCTCTCCTCCCATGACTCGTAACTTCTCCCTGTCTGCAAAACACAGAAACCTTCTGTTTTACTGAAACAGCAGGAAGGTCCACAGGGACCAATAAGGAAAAACAAAGTGGAGGTACCTGAACAACTTGTGGAGTTTGGACACTCAGCAAATGCAGCTGGAGATGTTGCCTCTTTTCTTCCTGCAGAATTTAAATAATGAAGTAAATAATTTAATTATTCTCTGGGAAAAAAAAAAGAGGGAGTATAAAACAGCTGAAAATTAACCATCAGGTTAATTATTTCCTGAAATATGTGTATGGCTTGTTTAGTTCTTGGCAGATGGCAGTTTGGCTGTTGCTGTGAGTAATAATCTTCCTGATGGTTATGCTTTCCTTCTTCTCATGAGGCAGCTGCAATCCCTTTCAGGATATCTGAATGTCATGTAGATTTCATTTTTATTATATTTTATATTATATTTTATTTTTATTTTCTATTTTCTATTTTTTAAAAGTTTTATATCTTTTATTATATATGAATACAGATATTGATACCCATAGGTGTGAAATATTGTCATAAGAGCAGGCATTAGAAATGGACCTTTAGAACCAAATGGATTTGTGCGCTTGTCCATGGCTGTGTGTATACACAGGTACGCCTCCTTACATGTAGAAACATAGACTTGGCTCTAGACCTCTTGGGAAGTCTCATCCTAACTCAGATCTCACAGACTGACTGTGTATCATAGATTTTTGCATTAAAAAATAGGCAATGACGCCATCTTATTAGGGAATTCCTTAGGATTTCACTGGGCCACAGCACTCTGATAATCTTGTAATTTTAATTCACTCATTTAAGTCAATGATATAGAAGAAAAACCATGTTGCTGCCATTTTCATTAAACTAGAAACAATATACACCAGATAACAAGTGAACACAAAGTAATTAGTGTGATGTCCATACGTGCATGCATAGGTTGATGTACATGTCTGGCCACATACAAATACATTTCTGATTACCAGTGCAAGTAATGTGGGTCTCTTCAGCTCGGTTAGTGCACGACTGAGGATGCCAGGAGTCTGACTGACATTGCCAGAGCGAGCTGTGCTGCTCAGTGCACTCAATGTGGTCCAGCCACGTGGGCCCAGACCCTCTGCCGTATTGGGAGTCCGTGGCTATTCCTCCTCCGTCTCCGCAGCCCAGGTGCTTGCACATGGTTACTGCGGTGAGCAGGGACATGCGATTGGAACAAACGCTCCCCCACGTCCCGTTGTAGAAAACTTCTACACGCCCAGCACAATCATTGCCATTCACCAGCCTCAGAGCCAGGAAATCTGGAAGTGAAGGCATAAATATGGAATTAGTGCCACAGGCTTCCTGTGATGTTTCTTTCCTGCCTTTGTAATAACACTTTTTTTACAGTGCTAACTGCTTGTGTTCGTTCTACCTGTATTGTGGGGCAAAGAGGCTGCAGTCCTTTCAGGGTTTGTTCTGGTTCCAACATGGGCCCTAACAGACTGCACTCCCTTCAGAGGTCATCTGTGGTTTTTTCCACTTCTCTTTCGTTTCGCCTCGCTCTTGCTGCTGCCATTCTTAAATATGCATGTGCAGAGCCACCATAAGCTACTTGGATTTTCCAATGCTGTAGTGCACAGTGGGTTGTTCCCATTGGTTTCAAAGCCAGCTGTAACTGACTGGAAGGAGCACACAGCCCCTTGCTGTGGAAATCTTTACAAACTCCTCAAATTTATCCCCTAAATATCCTACTACACCACAGACTTTTGTGTGTGTGTGTGCGTGCGCGTGTGCGTTGGTGCATAATATGGGCTTCTATGGATCCTTTGCATCTTAGTAGGACCAAAAGGATGTGCTGAGCAACTGTGCTTGTCATCAAGACAGGAGGAGGCTATCCAAGCATGTCCCCGCTATTCTTGACTTCCTTTTTATACAACCCTCCTGTTTGAACCCACAGGCTCAGAAAAGGGTTTTCCAAACACACCTGAGCACAGGACGCCAGCATCCTCTTTGTGTTGGCAGTTGTGCTGGCCCCACGCCCTAGAGGGACATGACCAGAGATCAGATTCAACCCCAGTGCAATTCACATCATCCAGCCAGATCTGCCCTGACCCTTCGCCATAATGGGCAGATACAAATGCCTCGATGGCATGCCCACATCCAAGCTGTTTGCAAACAACATTGGCATCTGATAGATCCCAGTTATCATCACAGATGGTGCCCCAGATGCCATGATGATAAAGCTCTACTCTTCCAGCACAGCGGTTTGTTCCATTCACCAGCCTCATCTGTCTGCTTCCTGTAGGAAGAAAATCCAGCTGTCAACATGCAACACAACTATAACACACCGGTCGGCATAATGGCAATATTTTTAAAGCACTTTCAAGACATCATGTTCTTGTTATATCCCAGTTCTACTGCTATGGTTGCTTGGGCAGAAGTCCTGTGAAGCTAAAACTGCATAAAGGGAAAGGTCTACTCCTGCACCAGGGGAATGTTTGAATAATTCAGGTGAGATATTGCCAGCAAGAAGTGTATAATCATACCAAGTATATGCAGAGGCCACCTTATCTTAGAAAGCCAGACAACCTGTTTTCTGTCTGTACTCATTTAGTTACAAATGGGTTGTACTCATCCTGTTACAAATGGGTTGCAAAATCAGAGAAGAGTAGAAACAGTTGTAATATTCTGTAGAATAGCTGCAAGTATCCATAAATATAGAAATGTCACAAAATAAAAGCTATTTAATTCTCAAGAGGCAGTAAGAATGCTTAGCAATCATAGCTAAATTAGTGTTCTCATGGCTCCTGTGTTCTAATAGTTCTTTTTGACTCTGGAAGAGAATTCTGTAAGAAATTCAGATGAAGAAAGCATTATATAAATTACACTTTCTTCCTTAACTATCATCAAGCTCAGACTCATGCCAACTTAAGATCTGTGACACCACAGCACAACGTGGGCTGGAGAAATCCTAGGAAACCTTCTGTACCTTTCACACAGTGACTCACCCGAACAAATCACACCAACATCTTCTGAAACTCCTGTTGGCACTGTCTGATAATGGGAGGTGTTGCAGAGCATCAGCTGAGTCTCATTTCCAGTGCACTGGACGCTCCTTAGGCCAACAAGACCCGTGCCTCGCTCAGACTTTGGAAGGTAATAGGCTTTCTCGGCAGTTCCACACTGGAGCTGTCGGCATACCACATGGGCATCCCTAATGTCCCAGTCGTCATCCAGGACCCTGCTCCACACCCCATGGAGGGAGATCTCAACTCGCCCACCACAGCGGCTCTCACCCCCTGAGAGTCTGAGTGATTCAGCAAGACCTGGGCTCAAGAGAGTTAGGAAATATATTGAGTGACATCTACTTATCTCACTGCAGTAGAAGTAACTTGCAGGAAAGCAATGGAAGACAAATTTCTGTGCTGGCAAAATATTAATTCTCACCACTGATTAAGGAGACTGCCCCCTTTAAGGCTGTGTTTGCTTTCATGCACACAAGGGCCTGCAACGGGAAGCAAGAAAGGCTTCCCCACCTCAAAAACTAGATCCTGTCAGTGAGATCACCAGCACTGCTTTGGTCTGAAGTTGCACCACCCATAAAAGGCCACTCCTGACTTACCTGAGCAAGTTACAGTGGCTGCTTCTTTGGCTGAACAGGTTGGATTGCCCAAAGTCACTTGAACACAATCCCAGAGACAGGACTCTGTCCCTTTACAGTGAAAAGCATCTCTCCATATAGGCCCATTTCCATCCACAAAACTGTCTTCCATCTGGATTGATTTTGCATACCCACAGTTCAGCTGATGGCAGAGAACATTGGCAGCTTGCAAATTCCAGTGGGAGTGGCAGAGTTTTCCCCACGTGTCTCCATGGCGGATCTCCACTGTGCCAGAGCACGTAGTGCCATTCACCAGCCTACCCCCTGGACACCCTGAATGTAAGAGAAAGGGAATATTGGGGTGTTACATTTGCCACTGCTCATGGGCAGGACCTGGAAGTGACCGGGGAATGGGAATGAGTTTTCCTTATCATTCAGTAGTAAAAATGACTTAACTGGGCCATACTCATAAATAAACTTCAGTCCAACCTATTTTACTGGGAAGAATGACTAGAACTCAGGATCATGTCCCATCTGCAATTTTTAAAATCAGAGCACTAGGTTTTGGGGGCTTTGGGTCAACTAATAGACCTTAATTTTTCAGACCAATATCACTGAGGGCCTACAGCTCTGCATCCTTCAACTGCTGGTCCAAGTCCTCACTTAAACCTGGACCTTAATGCACTTAAATTAAGTCCCTGCCTCAAGTGCATGACAGTGTAACTGTCTCCACTCTCATCTCATGCTATGCCTGGCTGTTCTCTCCAGCCAGACCCTACACCTCTTTGTTTGCTTTGACTTGTCTGGGACTGCTCATAGACCTTATTACCAGTACCTTCCTCTGTCCTCTCTGCAAATGCTTTGGATTGTGTCTAAGTGGCAAGGACTCTGCCTGTGCTGTGCTCAGCCTGTGCCCAGCTCATCCTGGCTTGTGCAGCAGCCCTGCTCCTGCTGTTATCTGACACTAGGAGCATTTCAGAAAGAGCAGCCTTGTGGTACAGTTGAAGTGCAGCCTTGACTCCTGTTGCAGCAGTCAAATGACAAAGCCTGACTCCACATATGCCCTCTGAATTTTGAGTCCATATTTTTCCTTAAGGAAGGAGTTTTTCAGTTCTCTTCTTAGACCTTCCCACTTCTCACCTGAACACACCACATGAGCTTCTTTTCCAGCAGGGCATTCATCCTGACCTAGAGCACGCACAGGACACTCTCTCAGGAGTGAGCCATTCTTCTGGCAACTGAATGTGGCATTCCAGACAGATCCATTTCCTTCCCCAAAGGACTGTCCACTTGGGATCAGTAGTGCAACTCCACAGTCTAGCTGCTGGCAGAGGATATTGGCAGCTGGTAAATCCCACAGGTAGTCACAGAGGGTTCCCCATGTGCCTCCGTGAAGAAGCTCTACTCTCCCTGAACACGTGGTATTGCCGTTTGCCAGCCTGTACCCACCGTAGCCTGCAGAAAGAATAAAGAAGCTTTGCAGTTACTTTTGGGTTTTTGTGCTACTGCACTGAAAACTGTAAGAGAGCTCTATCTGCAAGAAACTAACACTCATTTATATGTCAGGTTACTAAAAGCATCTTAGAACAGGATGCTGATAAGCCAGCCCTGAAAAAGAAGTTTCTATTGTCCATTTTGTAGCCTGCACTGTATGACTAAAAGTCTTTTGATTCTTTAAGTTCAGTGCCTCCTCTCTGTTCTGCTCTGTCCTCCCCTCACAATACTGCTGCTACCTTACAACATCTTCTGTTGCAGAGGTGCTTTCAGCACTGCCTCACATGTGAGGAACTCAGGGTAGGAGCAGCTGATATCACCATCTCTCCCAGTGGCTGGTCATGTCACATTTCCTGGTAAGCAGAAACTGCAGTGGGGAATTCTCAGCTTTCATCCATGTCCCAGAGCAAGGTTCTGAACACCCCAGGCCACAACCATCAGCGTATTGACAATAAATTAAGGGCGGCATGGATGGCACAGTGGTGTCCTACTGCCAGCTCCATGAAGTTCCTCTGTCTTCTGGCAATGTTACTTTCTACCCTTACCTTGTCCTTGCACTGTACCCCTAATGAGCCCAGGATTTCAGCTCTGAGCTAAGACTCTTGCAAGATAGAAGCAGGAGCCAAGGACTGTTAGGTGGCTTAACTGAGGTGTTTGGCTGCCACTGGTCACAGTGTCCAAGGCAGTCTTGAAACAGACTGAAGCCCTTTGGACAGGAAATGGACATGAGCTCCAACCCTTTTCCAGGCTTGTTTTGTGTCAGTCTGTTGCCAGCAGCTCTGCCCCAGGTTTAGTTCACCCCTTTAGAACTGTGGCCTCAGGAAAAATTTGTGTTTGTTAGGCCTAATCTTCACTTTTTCAGTGGGTGGCAATACATAGCTGTATTCAGAGCCCCCAGCAGCCATAACTGTATGGAGTTCTTAAGTTCTCAAGTCATAATGAAAGTCATCTAAGTCTCTGGCAACTTTTTGTTTTTGTTTTGGTTTTTTGTTTGTTTTTTTGTTTGTTTGGTTGGTTGGTTGGTTTTTTGTTTTGGTTTTGATTTGTTTGTTTGTTTTTTTTTTTTTAAACCCCAAACCCTTACATTTGCAACTTGTGCCTCCTTCAACCTTTTGGAGATATGGTACCTCTTCCAGTTATGTCATTAACTGAAGTGCCAGGGATTAACTTACACATTGGCACCACAGGAAAGAAATTAATGTCTTGATATTCCTGCTTGCCTGCTCTGGCCTTTTTCCCTTCTATTTTTAGAGCATTCTTAGGAATGTTGAGTGCCTATTTCTAACAGCGAAAGAAATAACAGCCTTTTTCAGATATCTGAGTAGTAGTGATGTGATTAGAACAGCCCATGTCAGATGCAGACTCTCAGTAGAGTGAATGAGACATTGTGGGACCGCTCTCTGTTATTTTCTGGTCCCCCTTGAATGGCTCAAGACATGGTAGTGGAAGCATCCAAGGATCCTGAGAACCACAGAAGTGTACAGATGCTCTGAACTGTGGTTTAACAGGAAAAAGGCATATAGGACACAGGTGAATTATGTCCATCAGTCCAAAGTCTCACCTGAACACACAACAGTGGCATCATGAGAGCATGTGTTAGTGTGGTGCATGCTCCTGGGACAGTCTGCAAGGTGAGTCTCATTCCCTACACAGTGAAACTCTTCTTGCCAGATCAGTTCATATCTGTCTCCAAAGTGATTTCCTCTCAAGGTATCCACAGCCTGGCCACACTTTAACTCATTACATATAACAGAGGCAGTTTTGAAATCAATGTGTGAGAAACAGACAGTGGCCCAAGTTTCTTCTTTCTTTACTTTCAGATGTCCTGAGCAGGCAGTGTCCCCTCCAGTCAGACGCATATCAGAGAAACCTGGAAAAAACCCAAAAAACAAGAAATCCAACATCAAGAGTTGGTTCTACTCACCTATTTTTATAACTCCTTAATGGGCAAGACACATTTCACTTCTCTGAGTGTGACTGATACTTTTGAATTGTGACTGGGGCAATTCCTCTATAGAACTGATAAAGAAAAAAATGGTGTATGAGATTGCTTATTTCTCAGTATGTGAAAATACTAAATCCTTGGGAAAGAAGGAAGGAAGCTTTGAGCATCTGCCAATGACTGAGAAGTAGCAATCCCCAAATAGACAAATAGCCATTTACTACTGTGTGTCCTTGAGACCTCGTTATTTCGATGAATAGTAAGCTGAAGCACCCAGGAAGAGGAAACAGGAAATGTTGCACCCAGTTTCACAAATTGTTAAAAAGACAGTTTAGAGAGCTACAGGCTGACCAGCCTCACTTTGGTACTTAAAAAAAAGGTGGAGTGAGACTTGTAGAAACTCATTTGTGGGCACAAGGAGATAAATGGGAAGAGTCAGCATGGTTTTATCAAGCATGTATCATGCCTGTGGAACTGTAATGCTTTCTCTGATTGAAATGGGTTTGTGGATGAGGGGACAGCAGCACATGCCGTTTACGTCACATTCAGCACTGCCATTAACACTGTCTTGCACAATATTCTTATGTCCAAGAACTAGGATGTTACTGTCTGGCTGGAAGGACAACATGATTAAGCAGCTGATTGAATGGTCAGGCTCAGTCATTAGTGAGTTGCACTCTACCTGAAGACTGTCAGCAAGTGAAATATCACTTGTTGGGTCTTTCCAGGGGCTTTTCTGCTCAGTGTCTTATCTTCATGGTGGTGGTGATGGAGTACACTCTTATGATTTTGGGGGAGGTGGGGAGATAACCACAAGGCCAGAGATGCCATTCAGAGAGATCTAGACAGGCTAGACTAATGGGCTGACAGGAACCTTACAAAAATCAAAAAAGGACAAATGTAAAGTCGTGAAGCTGCGAAGGAAAAACTTGCAGTGGTTCTTTTTCCAAAGAGTAAAACCATGCACATCTTGCACATGAAGCAGCAAAACAGGTATTGGTCTTTTTTTGCCATTGCAGACTGTCCTGTCTTAGCCTACCTGAAGATCTGGAGAAGAAGGGCAGTTGTATGACATAACATTGCATTTTCTTGCTTCTCTACCTACACCTGCTTTTTTAGCCCCAATTCCTTATCAAAGACAAGTTCAGTACTGCCCCCCTGTTGCCTGGGAGAGCTGTGGTAGAAACAAATAGTGGGTTGGGTTTTTTCTGTTTTACGTCATTTAATATGCTCATTTGGTGTCTTTATTGTGCCCAGGCAAAGTCAGCTTGCACTCATAGTCAGCAGAAGACTTAATGCTGGAGCAACTTGCTTTGGATGAGTAGAGGGAGTACTTGGCTTTATCCATCTAAGACAAAGTTTGATCCCAGGCTCGTATCTCTTTTTCTATTATACAAGGCTGGATCACTTCTTACCTGAGCAGATCACTCCAATATCAAAGTAATGAGGGCAGGTAAAAGCACCCCATCCTGTATGCGAGCAGTTCCAGAGAGCAGATTCATCACCATGGCAATCAACTCGGTACAACCACGTTGGTCCAGTTCCTTGTCCAAAAGGAGCTCGATTCAGGGCCTTAACAGCAGATCCACATTGTAGTTGCTTACAGACAACCTCAGCATCCTTTATGGTCCAGTCACCATCACACACGGTTCCCCACTGATCCTCATGTTTTACTTCCACTCTCCCAGAGCAGGGGCCAGTTCCATTAGACAGCCTCAGTTCATCAGTGCCTTCAGACAGAGCAAGGTTATAGAAAGGACAGAGCTTTATCATGATTATCGACTGCAGATGTTAATGAGATCATTATTGCTCTTAATTTACTCTTACGTCAGACTTATTTGGTTCACCTTTCTAAATAGTCCAACTTAAAGAGTGGTTTTTTTGCAAGGAGTTATGTCTCTATTTAGAAGTTTGAGCTAACTGTACTGCTAAAATGTAAATTATTTCTAATGACAGGCAAACTTTCTTTTTTACTTACTTATCAAGGCTGGGAAATGCTGAGTAATGTCCCTGCTTTGTGATTCACAAAGCCTGCCACAATAAACACAGCAGCTGGAGTAGGTGAGGGGACTGCCTGTCAGTGTGTGTTTGCCACAGTAGATCAAGCTTCATTATCCTGTGAATTAGTTGGCCTGAAAACCAAGTTTGTGTATGTGTCTTTGGGAGTGAGGTAACTGTAGGAGCTGGCTACCAGAGGGACCAGAGGGGCCAGGCAAGCTGCTGGAGAGGTGGTAAGGTCAGGGGGGTCTACTTGAAGACTCAGCTCAAAGTTGGCTTTCTGGGCTGCAAAGGCACATTGCTGGCTCATGTCCAATTTGTCCCCACCAGTATCCCCAAGTCCTTCTCGTGGGGCTGCTCTCAAGCCATGCATCCTCCAGTCCGTGCCGATCCTGATGGTTGTCCTAAGCCAGGTACAGCACCTTGCACTTGGCCTTGTTGAACTTCATGGGGTAAGGCTCATTTTTCAAGCCTGTCAAGATTCCTCTAGGTAGCATTCCTTCTTTCAATGGCTAAACCACTGAGCCTGGTGAGAGACGTTTCTACGTATCACACATCTTGCTGTCATCTGACATTGTGAATAAGAATATTTAATTTTTCCCGCATTGGGAAACAAATCTAATTCTTCTCTCCACTTACTGCAAGTGTGTCAGTCTTAACCCATGAGCTGGTGCTAATGCAGCCATTTATTTCCAAGACTGACAATTTTTTCATTTCTTACTGCAGAGTAACTGCTAGCAATAGTCAACTGGAAGGCAATGTTGCCTCCATCTTCATGTGGTCTGTAACTGCTTCATCATACACAGACTATGTGGCTTTGACACATCATCACCTCTCATACACAGGCAAAGGCTTTACCTCTTTGCTAACACTGCTGGATTTCCTCACAATTTCCTGCCTATAATTTAAATTTGGAAACAAACAAACAAACAAAAAAAGGTGGTTATTCAAGTGACTGACAATTGGTAATTTCCAAAACCTATTTTTTCTGCAAAATATCCTCTCTCCTCAAGTCTCCTTAGTAAGAAAGTCACATGCATAGTACAATCCTCAGGTAACTAGAAAGCCACTCTGTGCCTGCAACGTGTTGTCTCAGAGGGGGCATAATCTTTCTGTAATAAGTCTTGTAAGTCTCTAGAAAGATATTCTGGAGAACAACCCCCCGAGTATTTAAAGAACATAATAAAAAAAAAAGTTTTCTCAGCTATAATATTTATACTTTAAAAGGGTGATGAGTTCTAAGAAAAGTTGATTTCCTAATACATTTTTAAATGAACCAGATAACCAATTTCTACTAGCCATATCCAGGAACAAAACAAACAGCTCTTCACTCAATTCTATGACCTCTGTGCACTTGAATTTTTAAATAATTGTACATCTGATGTTTTCAACGTGTAACAGCATGCAAGACTGGATGCAGAGGTAGGCATCGCCCAATTGACAGATTTAAATATTTCCTAATAAAACGTATCATTTGCTGTAATCACTCTTCTGTGAATTTTTTTATGATATGTACAGGTACAATTTCATATTTCCTCACATTCCACAGCATGTCCTGCAAGTACCTTCATGGAATTCAGTGGTTTGGTGTTCTGCTTGGCTGAGAAGGCATGAGATTTTTGATTACCCCAGCTGAAAACCTGGTTCTTCTCATAGGGAAAGATGAGGATGCACCACACATTCCTGTCTCCAGGCCCTAAGAGGAGGTTTCCAGCCTAGGCTGGCTGCCTTAGGGGCAGATTTCCAGCTCACTCCCAGAGAGCTGTGACTCTTGCACTGATCTGCACAATGCCCTGTGCCTGGGGAACATCAGAACACCTGTAGCAACATGGAGAGTGCAAGTGCTGCCAGATCAGAGATGGGGGTGGTAGGTGCTGCTGATGATGGTGTCATTGCAAAGCTACTCTTCTCTGCATGTTCCAGTCAGTCTGTTACTGTTCCCTGATGTAAACAAGAAGTTGGCAGAAAAGTCACTCTCATTTCTGCAGTACAGCTCAGTTGTCACTATGTAGTGACATAAAATGTCACTACAAAAGTGTCTAAGTAAAAAATGTTTCATATTATGAGAATGTGCGTCAAGAGTGCCTCCTGTTCCCTGCCATGTGAACTCCGACTGCATCCACAAAACTGGTCAGAACCTTCAAGACTAGGGCCATGCTATAGCAAAACATCAACCCTGAAGTCTTGTTCTCATCATATGGGGATGCAACCACCACCACAATGCCTTAATGTCACCTCCATGTGTAGAGAGAAAAAAACAAGGTTTCCCAAATCTGTTTCTCATCACCAACATCAAGCATGTTCACATAGCTCCAGAAGTGCGGAGACAAATAGTGATAAGCTTCAGATATACAGGAACAACTGAGGAGATGCTGTGTTACCAACACTCCACTGGACACAGAGGGGAGAGCTGCATAATTTTAACTGGTGTTGAAAAAAGACCCGGAATTATTAATTCTGTCTACAAAGAGCTCAGCAGGGGAGATAAGACAGTAGTAAGAATACCCAGCTGGTTTTTAGTACACCTTTTAGTTTACAAAATTTGGACTTGAATTTTTATGGGAATGGCCAGTCACTGATATCAAAATAAAATACAAAACTTTTACAAAAGGCCTACATTTCCTTATCTCAGGATTACCAAGGAGATTGAATCAAAGACAGAAACATACTTAAACACCATTTTGTCACTTTGCTTTAGAGGTTAGTAAAAGAATAACCTAATGATATTAAATTTGCATACTTTTTTTAAATCTCACTGCCTTATGCAAAATAAAGTACGTACTTACCCAGGGAGACCTGAATGGAGAGAAGAATCAACCACAGTACTGGAGCAGAAAGAAGTCCTTTTGTTGCCATCCTGACCACAGATGCATAAAACTTTACTCTCCAGGCACTGCCTAGCTAAAATTCTTGCTGGGCATTCCAGTATCTCACAAATGACTACGAAGGAGGAAATATATAGATTCACGTGCTAGCATGAGCTACCTGAAGGAACCAATAGAAATATTGTTCACCTTTTTAGACATTATCAGCAGATTAATCTCCAATCTGAAGGAGACAAAACCTCCAATAAAATTCAAAAAGTGTACTTGTGACCTTATATGAAGAATGATTGTGTGTCTGATGTCATCATCGGAATTGTTTTACTGTGGGACCAACACTGGTGGCACAGGCAGAGCAGTGTGCAAAGTGGTTATTTCTCACCTGAAAAAGGAGTATGAAAGTGTAGAACACTGGTCATTTTTTGATCACTTCAGAAGAAAAAAAGGCAAAGAAAATTCCTTTAATTTGTAGCTTACCTGTCATGTTGGAAGAAATTGTACTCCAATCAACAGAAATGGTGTTTATCACTAGAGGTGAGTAAAAAATTATACCCTCTCTGTCTTTGGGGTAGGCTTAAGGCTTTCTTATTTGGTCATACCTTTACGGGCAGAATCTCTTAAAAAAAGATCTTCCTTAGGATTCAAATTACAGACCTTCCTGTTTCCTCTGATGAATTTCTTTTTGTTTCAGCTGACAACTGCTAGTAGTTCTACCCCCTCTCTCATTCACTCTAGAATGGCAACTTTAGGGAAATAAAAGCTGCTGTTAATTAAAGAGTGGCTACTTGACTCATTCTGACAACTGGAACAATTTGCAGAATGCTGTTTACACCAGTCTAAACACTCATTCCCCTTTATGACACTGCCAGCATCTTGCTTTTGTCTCATGGTATCTATCTACTCTTTACCCAGAATTCTGAGTTCAGTAACATCCACGCTGTTGGGTCCTTAGGACACCAATCTTTGCAACCTCTTCCCCTTCTCACTGGGCTTTGCTTGTTCAAGTTCTGCGTAACTTTGCACAGGATAACCTTGGGTCAGACTGCTGCAGAAAGATATGAGAAGAAGAGCAGAGAGTCTGGCCAGAGGCTGCCTGTTCTTCGCTCAGGACCTCAGACACTTGCCTGTGATCTCTCTAGAGCTTCAGGGCAGCCAGGCTGGGGTCTGGCCATGAACTTTGCTGATACCTGACTCTGATCTGCTGACTTGACTTTATGGCTTGCTCTTGCTTTTTCTGGATTGCCTTCACTACTGGCTTAGCCTTGCTGCTGTTGTTGACCTATTCCGGAGGTTTTTTGTTCAGTTACTATGGGATTGCAACTCTTGCGAGGACCTTGCTTCATGACTGGTTTGCTGTCAGCTTCAGTTCCTGGCTGACCTTCCCTTGCAGAGCATCCTGCTTCTTCTACCTGATAGAGACCTCTGAAAACCAGAAAGTCACTGCCACTCCATTGGAAATGTGGTCAGGGTAGGGGAAATCCCACTACAGATGTGCTAATGAGAGATAGGTAAAGTATCCATGATCATGTTGGTTCCTATACTGAGGTTCAGTAGTTTCACTTAGCACTATTCTTTGCTGATTGGTGTCCACCAACTGAATTCTCACAGACATTTTAAACCCACTCCAGGAAGCCTTAGAGTGAGGTCTGTTTCTCAGCATACAGGCCCTTGATGACCAGAGCCTCTTTTATGGGCACTGTGTGTAGCCAGGTACATGCCAGTGCCCATGGATGCTAGAATAGAGAGCATGAAAGAAAATTGCCTCACCTTGTGCTAGAGGAGGCTCAGGTGAGATATTGGAAAAAAAAAGCTTCACTGGCAGGGTTGTCAAATGCTGGGACAGATTCCCCAGGGAAGTGGTTGAGTCACCGTCCACAGATTTACTTCAAAGATATGTAGATGAGGCACTTAGGGCCACAGGCCCTTAGGTTTAGTGCTAGGTTAATGGTTGGACTTGATATTAACATATTTGCTAACTAAAATGGTGCTATGATTCCGGGAAAATCAGGCAGGAAACAGCAGAACAACTCTGAGATATTTTGCTTAAGAAACTGAACACAATACTTCACTTACCAAAATGATGTGCTGGAGTTGGATCAATACAAAAAATGTCTTCAGGGATGATCTGATGACTACAAAGTCCATTTTACAGTCAGATGGTAATGAAGAGACTTCAAAAAGTTGTTAGCCTAGCAAAAAAAACTTTTGCTTCTAAGTATTTTGAGACACTAACTGGAACATAGACTATATAATTGAAAGAAAAGAATAAAGTATATCACAAGGGGGTTTCTAACAATGAGAAAAAATAAGGCCTGGAATTAGGTCTGAGTAAAAATGGTGACAGAAAACTTCTGCAGTAATGACCAAGGTCATAATTACTGAAAGGAGCTATTGAGCATGTTTCATTCTATTAACACAAGTGCAGATTTGGTGACTCCAATGGTCCCCTTAAATCCCTTCTCCATTGTTCAGGAATTACCACAACAGACCCTCTGAATAAATCATCCTTTTGCTACAGATACAAGAGAAGATTGCTGTAGAGCTGACAGAAAGGCCTTACTCCATAGTGACCATATAGCAGTTTAATCTGGTACTTGACTCAGAACTCTGTCCTGAGGATATGCAACAACTCAGACTTCCCTATACTATGATCAACACAGTGCAAAGGAGGCAGGTCAGTGAAGGAACAATGAGCAGGATTAGTGGAATATTTATTGGTTAGTGAGGTACAGATGGGGCTTAGCCAGGCAACCATTAATGAGCCTGTACTAATCCTAGAGAGTCAAGCAAGGATGTGATGGTTTCATAAGTAAATTTGCTAATTTTCCTGGTTGGTATTCAAGTCAGGAGAGAAAAAGATCACAATTAATGTCTATTAGATCACTTCTTACTAGTTAGGCTTTTAGTAGAATCAAGCTGTTATTATTAATAGCAGATACCAATTCACACATTATGCCCAGTTATTGACTCACACTCAGACACTCACCGACGTGAGCTGTTATCTGGTATCACAACATGCTTATGGCCTGGAGAGACTGGAGAATCTTGATGTTCTGAATTTTTCTGTTCTTGTGAATCCACAGGACTGGAAGTTTCCTGACCTTATGTATTCTTAGGAGAGTTTCACTTGTCTCAGCACCCACCCATTCTTTCTTTGATCTGATTTCTGGTATCACATGCACAGGCCCTGCTCTTTCATGCAAATTCACCACATGTGGGCTTTTATGACAGAAATGCCTAGCCAGAGTTGATCCAAAAGCCATCATGTGTCCCACAGGACATTGTCCTGTCCCATGATTTCAGTTTGCAGTAGTAATCTTTACCTCCAATCCCTCTGAACACAGTTCTTTTCTATCTATGGGAAATGTATACCTATACTGCTGCATATTATAAATAGAATTTCAAAGTATATCACTCACTGCAAGATAACTAAGAGATAAACCACTTTTCCTCATTGTTTCAATTCAGAGTGTGAACCCTTTTGTGCAGAGGCTGTACACATTTCTGAAGGCTTCCTCCAGGTCTTATGACTGCCATTCCCATACGCCTGTGAAAATGAGAAAGATAAGCACATGCAAGTGCATGTTTTGTGGTCTGAAGTTAATACAGGCTGCTTCAAAACTTGTTTTGGGGCTGTTTAAGTACATGTGCCTTTGAACTGCCGTTATCTTTAAACACAACATAGATGGAGTTAAGAGATGAAGGTAATACACTGAGTGCTAAGGTAAAGATGGGGCTGCCTGAAGGAAAGCAAGCAGTTAGGAAGGAAACCACTTTCTTCCTTACTCAGGCTGTGCTGGAGGGATTTTGAGTTTCAGAGAAATGAGATGTATCCTGTGGTTAAGATAAACCTGAGCTTTGAGACAGATTAATCTCTGTATATCAAACTGACAATGGTTTAAACAGACATCTGAAATGAAGTTACCTGGAGTGGTGTTTACCTTTGTGTTATCTTTATGAATGTATTTGTCAAGCCTTCCAAAAGCTAGTTATATATTTACTGTCTTGTGAGCCCAAATGCTTTTGGAGAAGTGTCAGTCAGGAATTTTTCAGCAAAAGTATCGCTTGAAGAAAGTGGACTCTAAAGAAATATTAATATTTGACAAAATTTGGTTTCAGGGAGACTTCAAGAGTGAGCCAATATGATTTTTATTGTAAGAAAAGATAAGCTGTATTCACTTTCAGAATAAACTATATTTTGATCTTATGACCCATTGAATGAAGAGTTAAACAATTTGAAAGTAAAGTTTTAATGATTTCTTTAAATTTTAGTCTAAGGCATATGTTTTCAGTGCACTTCCACTGAGGCATTTTAATTTATACATACATTTCTACAGGTTTTTTTTTTTTGTGAGTATTGTTGCTTTCTGTACTATTTTTCCTTAATAATTTAAAAGATCTTTTTATATTATTCTCTGTTACTTTTCCCCCTCAAGTTTTGTTAATTCCAAGTAATCATGAAATCACTATTTATTCAAACAATGTGTATTAAAATTAACTTGGGGTCACTGTCTAGTATTTCATGTTAAGTGTGCAGTCAGCTAACAATGGAACAACTGATCCAATGGTCACTGAAAATTTGCATAAATTATGACAGATTATGCTCTGACCTTTGCTTGAGAGATTTGTGAAGACTAGTTTTTAATTAAATGCCAGCATCTCAGTTCTCAAGATCAAAATTATTCAAGTTTCAATAGGGACCAGGTGACGTGTATGTCTGTTTATCCCTCTTTGTAGGATAAGGTTTCTAAACTTTTCCTCTGAATATGTAAATCTTTCATCCCTAAATTTGAAGGCACAAGTTAAAAACAGTGGACCAGGTCTCTCTGGTAACTAGTCTCCAAATCCACAATTTCTCCAGACCAAACCAGCATAACACCACAGTTCTAGCTTAAGAAAGGGATTTCAGATGTGAGCTGAGGGATGCAAATCACTCATTAATCAACATTCTACTGCTGCTTGCAATGTTTGTATATTTTCTTCCTTCAGCACTGGTGATTGTTTATTGCTAATAATTTAAATCTGTTTTCCTTT